ACAGGCAAAATATATTTTGTTCCCCCCCCGTTTCCCTTCCATTAACTCTTCATACCAGAAAAAAACTAACACTACATACCATTAAATGAATAAGAGAGAAAAAGAACTCCTTAAGAATAATTTTAGAAAAATATTAAGTTTAATATTATAAATTGTAACTAACAGACCATGATTATGATTGCTGCTGTTACTACTACTACTACTATTATTATTACTAACATGACTAGTTGTCTGTGACTTAACTGTCTGTTCAGACACTAATTAAAAATATAATTTACATCAATATATTTCCTCGTGAAAAATTTGATATATGTAGCCATTTGCAACTAGTCACATAGAAACAAGGTTAAAGGGAAACATGCAAACTTTCTTCATTTTATTATAGACCATCATGGATAAAGAATTTTAATGTTTTGATAAATCTTTGCTTATACACAAAAGAATAGGCTTGGGCCCAATAAGTATAAATATTATCCATACATGACTTCCCGATATCTATTCTATAAATATTTTCATGATAACTGTTCTAATGAGCTTTCCTCTTTGGTACCTTACCCTCATTAATTTAAGTGTAGTACTAGATTGATAAATAAGTATACTGTTAAAACCCATGCAAAAAAGAAAAGAAAAAAAAGATTCTACTCATGTAAAATTCACACCCAAAATTTCAGAATTGGTGATATGGCCACAGGGAAGAGGTTTCAATTTAGATGTATTTAACATAATTTCTCTTATGATTAGATTTTAGTAAATTTTTATTAAATAAAAATAATCCCTGTTTAACAGATAAGTATTGCATTAAAAGATATTAAATTATATAAGCCAGATTATGTTCACATGTAGAAGTTAGGATCATCATTGTCAACATTGTAAATGTTTACAATTTAAATCCTTTTCCTTACCATCCTCAAAAAAAAAAAAAAAAAAACAACAACATACAGTCAAGAATATCCATATCATTTTTTCCAGTCAAAACTATCCATATTACTTGCTCCATTTCAATAGGTAGAAACTCCAAGCAGTGTAAAATATGGCCAGGATTGTGATTAGCAGCATGAATGTCAGACTTGTGCTGTTTCTTATTTTTCCACACACACATACACACAATAAAAATTAATTCACACCACGTGTATCAAAAAATACAATTGCGCCGGAATTCATTCCTTATCATGCCCTGTGGGGTCAAAAAACAAGGACGGCGCACCCAAAAGTTCGGACGTAGTGAAAAGCACACCACGTGGTCAAAAATAGGATTTATTGACCAATCAGGACTCGACATAAGAAACCCATTTCTTAATCTCCCCGGAGCCTCATCATTCTTATATAAGGAAGGTAGAAACTCTCATCAGAACAGAGAGAGAACAGCGACAAGCTGACATCAAAGTGACACGGACAGTTTCGAGCACACACACACCGAGAGGATTCAGCGGTTCACACAACAGGCAATATCACGTATCAGTGAACATTCTTTCACCCTCTCTTTCTCTCATCTCGCTCGCTACACATAGTCCTACCTTTCCCTCTCACATTCCCAGTTCCTTTCTTTCTCTTTTTCTTCCGCAGCTTTACGGACAATTTCATTTTTGTACAAGGAAAAAATAATTCTTTACAAAAATAAACAAAAGTTTATTTTACTTTATTTGTAGTGTATTTTCTTTTTATTATTTGTTTGAGGGACTTCTTTGCACCCTCTACAGACTTCAAAAAGTAGTTAATGCTTTTAGTAAATTTATACAGAAAAAGTAAGCATTATACTGCCCAGAATAAATAAAAGTCAACTTTATTACATTAAGGCCTTATTTTTTCTGTATAAACTTATTCTGACATTAAATGGGTCAAGATCCAGTATGAATGTTTCAACAAGAAAAATAAAAAATAAAATTAAAAAAATAATTAAAAAAACCTGGAAACAATCTACTCATGTAATTTATGTGCACTCCCTAAAATTTATTTTTATTTTTGTGAAAAAATGTGTAAATTACATGGGTTTTTACAGTAATTAATTATTTTACTGTTGAAGTAGCTAAATGTAACCAAGTTCTATTCTAATGGATTTTTTTTCTCTCACACTTCTCATCTATGGAACTCTTTTGGGTTCTTGCTTTCCTGTCAACTACAATTATCAAAAAGTAAAATACAACATCAAAAAGGACATAAGAGCACCATGAAAGGGACACATTCAGCAGTTGGACAGCATCTTGGGCTGAATTCACACAATTCTCCAGAGACATTGGACTTGACCAGCTTGACAAATGCCATCACACTAGTAAGACAACATATGCTCCCTCTCTTTCCATATGCCTCAACAGATGCTTTTACATCTACACTTATTTCCTTTTTTTTGTACAAAAGACACCTATCCTGATTTTTTTTAATTTATTTTAATTTTTCCTTCATTCTTCCACCATATGCTTAGTAATGCAACAAAACAAAAAAAAACACATTCATAACATAACTTAAAGTCTCTTCATTTTATAAGGTATTTATAAATCTTTACTTTTTTCTTTTTTTACTACACAAGATGTTGCGCAATATAGACATTTTGCATAAGATTGAAATCATTGATAGTAGCTTAACTTGAAATAACAAAGTCAATAGATTTTAAGAGAGTGCAATACAAAAAGTGTACACTTAATATATTGATATTTAATTTTATATAAGTAAAAGGAGTGTAGTTTAATGCAGATTAAGCAAAAGTTTGTATTACTTTGAACTTTAAAAAATAAATTTAAATATCTTTCTGATAAAGAGAATAACCCAACAGTTAGCATATTACTTATCATAGCTACAGATTATTTAATACTTTGAGTATATTTTTCAAAGACTAGAAATCTGGGAAGAAAGTAAGTTTACCTTTTTCCACCTCAAACTCTGCCTTCCTGCAGAGTTTCTTTGAAATGGCCCACGTTTGTAAAGTGGCATAGAGCTGTCACTGTCACTCCGATTCAGCTGGAAAGAAAAGCAAAAATGAGATTAACATTTTCTAAAAAAAAAAAAAAAAAAAAAAAAAAAAAAAATCATTGATATCCAATATAACCTGCATAAGTATCAATACATGAAAAAGTAATATGAGTATTATTTAAAAACTAGCAGCATGGCCTGGCATTGCCAGTGCTTGATTCAAAAATCGTACGACTCATACAGCAATCGCTATCACTTGACTTAAAATATTTTTGCCCTTCCTTGCCTTTAAAGGAGTGCCCTTTGCCATGCTGATGTTGCTACATGCCTTACTTCTTGCTTATCTCACACTGCGAATTTTTTCTAAGATCTATACTAAACATTAAATCTGTTACGAAAAAAGAACTAAACAAAATGAACACAAAACGATCAGCTTTAAAAAGGACTCAGAACTGGAAAAACTGAATGAAAAAAGAATGTTAACAACAAATACTTTTTCACATCCAACCCAGTTCTGCGGAATCAGAATCAACGTTGAGTTTAAGCAAGCGAAGGAGCCAATTGGATTAAAGTGCCATGCAGATTTAAATTTTTCCCACTTGTGACGAATGCAGCTATCAATTTTTTTGCATCCTAGTTAACATTCGTATCAGTCAGCTGTTGACTCTCACGCCTATAGAATCCTCCTGCCTATTCGTGGCAGCCAGCTATAGGCTCTCACTCTGGCCAGTACAAAATGGCCGCAAACTACATGAAAACTGCCGTAGAAGCATGAAAAAAAAAAATCGATTATTTCCACTATCGATGGGAGTTGGGAAATGCAAAGTCGGTCTTGGCTTTCCTGCTAACTTCGAGCATGTGTATGTAAATTTTGGTGCAAAAATTGTGGCCGTGCATTCGTTACACACACACACACATCCTGCCTTTTATAGATAGAGATGAACAGTTTTTTTTTTTTATCATTACTGAAAGAAATTACTTGAAAAACATTAGCTGAACAGTTTCATTAAATTTAAAATTAAGAGCATTTCCATAGGACAAGTATGGATGACCAAAAATGTCAAAACCTGATATTCAATGTCAAAAGTACATTTCCAAAATAAAACACCATGATACAATGGACAATATTGATTAAATTTATACAGTCATATATTGAGATGCTAAAAAGTTCTGTTTGGTGGCAGCAATGTTCTAAGCATGGATGAAGACTTAGAGATATGTAGGATCGATTCTAGAGAAAAATTGTCTAGCTAGACACAATGAACCAAATTTTTTTAATAGATGAACTAACAAAGGATTTAATATAGTCTTTCCACTTCATGTCAGCAAAGAATATTAACCAGAGGTGTAAAGAGTAACTCTCCTTGAAGTCAGCATTGGCCATCTGAAGGCAAAAAGGTATCTCAGATGATTAATAGAGAGCAGTTTTGTTTTGGAGGCATTAAAATTACCCCAATCAAGGCAATAAAACCACTAAGACAATGGATTACTGGGTATGAAAGAATCAGAAGACAAAAACATTATGAAGGAGCAAAAGCAATAGAAGAGTGATGAAGATAATGATTAACATAAATCTTAAAAATTAAATGCAAAGCATGGAGCCAAAAGAGAGTTCCACAAGCATAAAACTTTCAGTTACATCCTACCAATTCAACTGTAAATTGACAAGACCTTATCACTAGTCTAGTAATGCACTTAAATTCATAAAATCTTGGTACCAAGTCAAAGAGGTCTCACAGATGATTAATATAGAGCAGTTTTGTTCTGGAGGCAATGAAATTAATAAGTCATTCTTCCCCCCAGTTAATAACAGACCACGGATCATCGTTGGCATCAGCTGCCAGTTCAACCTCATTGAACTAATGCCCTTCAAAAACGCATGAATGTACTTCAACCCTCAGCTATGGGTTAAATAGCAACAGTTGGGTTGGCTACCAGTCTAGCCTTGGGTGACAACCTATCTAGAAGTGTAACTTTGAATTCAGAATCAAAGAAAAGATAGAGAGAAATAATTTTACCATATTTCCCAAGAAGTTATGACTGCCTGTATCAAAAGTACGAGGAAAGAAAAGAATATCAGTACCAATCATTTAACTTACCTTACAAACATAAGCAGTGCCTTGCCTGTCTGCAGGTGAAAATGTCTGAGAACGCCTGATTGTGCTTTTTCGGACATTGTCTGTTGTCCGATTCTTCACCTTGCATATCTCAAAATCACCGTCTGTATTTGTTCCCTTGTCACATGTTTTTACTTCTTCATCAGCAGCAACAATAACACCAGTGGGTTCATAGTTTTCAAACACTAACCAACCCACAGAAGGATCCTGGTTTTGTAAATCAAATAAAAATTTTAAAAAATACAAATTTACTTGAAAAATCTACAACAGCTTCCAGTTATATGCACTAACAATGTAAAACACATAAATCCTAAAAATAATACATTATGTAAATGTTAAATTCAACCAACAAGGTTTGTCTATTTAATTTTTTATATTTTTCCATTTTTAATTTCTGAATAAGATGTGTAACAGGAATGAAATTATCAATAAACTGTCCAAGGTTTGTTAGGGATTTTTTTTGTGCAAATATTTATGACTAGATCAGTCATTATCAAGTGGGTGTCGTTTTGACTAAATCCTGACATTTTAAACATGAACTTTGGCCAGTTAAATCTCAATTTAAATCCCAATATACATGAGAGAAATATAATTTTAAAAAAATGAAAAATAGGCAGACTTTTTCAGTTGAGTTTAAAACTTGTTTTGCTGAATTCTTGATCAGATTGTGTGAGAGAGATAAAGAGAGAGAGAAAAAGAGGTAGAATTTTTTATGAACATCTTGTTTTCATATGACCAAATTTTAAGTTGTTTAAAAGAGTCCATTTTTCACTTATGCCATTTTTACTGTTCAACCTTGTTCTGGAGATTCAATAAAATTTCAGAATACAACAGACACTAAACAGAGATTAGACAGTTTATGGCTGAAATTTGAACAATGCCCCATTTAACAATTCAGACAATAACTAGAGCTTTTATTAAAATAATTTTTGACTAATATTTCTTTCATCTTAACTTCTTTTGCTTTTATCAACTGCAGTTGTTATTCATAATATTTTCCTAACACATACTGTTTTTATTGAATGGCAATTTTAGGGCTGTGAGGAAAAAATATCAGAATTAAAGTGAAATAAATACTAATTAAAAATTGACAAGGTGTCATTTAATAAATTAAAACTCCCCAAACCCAAAATTTATGTAACTTCATTCATTTGTCAATTCGAAAATAATGTATATTTATTTATAATAGGTTTCATTATTTATTACCTGTTCTTTTGGAGATTCTGTAGGATTTATTTCTTTATCTTCTTCCTCTTCCTCCTCCTCCTCTTCTTCCTCCTCTTCTTCTTCCTCCTCCTCTTTCTCATGAACATCATCTTGATGACTGTGCATAGCTTCTGGACCTGTTTAAAAAGAAAATTCTAAGTACAGCCACACATTAAACTAGGTACTGCCAAAATTCGTGTACCTAAAGTTTTTAAATGTATTTTTCATAAAGGAAAAATCCTTTTTGAAGGTTTACCCAGCTTCTATTGAAAGCTAAAGGATTAAATTTTCTAATTCCAGAAAAAAAAAATACTGCGGAGTATTTCAAATAGAAATTTGAATGATTTTTAGTTGATTCTTTCAAAAAAAAAAAAAAAAAAAATTTCTAAGAACTTCTTTTTTTCCTTATAAGAATTTAAAATACTATAAAAATTTCTTACATTATTTAGTTACCTCTATAATGATATTTCATTATTTAATAGCTAAAATAACAGTTGTAAAAAAATTTAAAAAAAAAATTTTACCAAGATTTTCTAAAAATAAAAATTTCAAAAATATATTCATTCATTTTTGAATAAGTCTTGAAAGTTTCATTAAAATCAGACAATTATTTGATTTTTGAAAGAATTTTCAAATTAATGTGTTTTACACTGGAAACTGCTACACTAAAAATGCCCATTACCACAAGTCTTACAAAATTGGAAAAAAAAAAAAAAAAAAAAAATTTTTGTGCCAAATTTAGAATGTGTTAGACAGGAGGAAAAATTTTTTAAAAATAATTAAAAAATACTTTGTTCTTTCCTCTTAATAATAACAAACATTTTAATGATAAAACTTTGTTTTTATTAAGTTTGGGGCCTTTTATCATCATGCTATCCTGTTTTTTAGTGAATTATTGGCAGTACCTACATTAATAGGTCTATATTTTGCAATGAAATTAGTTTCTTTTAATATTTTTACAACTTGTTCTAGATTTAGAAAAGTAAATAAAAATCTTAAAAGAAAAGATCAATTTGTGTTATTCTCTGCCATAAAACAAAACTATAATTTTGCAAATATTGAGAAAAAATATAACATTTGTGTAATTGTTTTTTCATATTTTTAATTATGATTATAAAGGACAATAATGTTAAACAACTACAATCATTTACATTGTTGTGCTCATCTTTATTGTCATATTCACAATGTTTCAGTTGTACGCTCCAACCTTCTTCAGGTGATATATATTGGAATTTAGAACTGAAACCTTTATTTAGTCCACAAGGGTAGATTGTTCTAATTCCATGTTTCATGCCATTCAAGGGAGTGTACAACAGCCAAAATGTTGGTATAACACAACTCTGAATTAAAACAGGGAGTTTGTCCAGTCAATGCAAGATTGAGTAAAGGCTCCAGTGTCATTGCACACAAACACTAGGAAAGGTCTGGTGTATATTCACAACAGAACAGAAGGCTAAAATATTGCCACAATGAGAACAAAACATGAATTTTGTTTTCATTGTATTGATTTCTTTTCATTTATTTACCAGGCATGGTCTGAGAATAGAAAAGTAACATTTTGGACATCATTACTGTTGATGCTTCTGTCTTCTCTCATGACAGATGACTCGGTAACTAATTACATTGTGTGTCTTCATCTGTCATCATATTCACTATGTTTTGGCTGTTGTACTGTCCCTCTATTTACGCCATGGCATGAAACAGAATTTAAATTTTAAAATTAGCATATGAATTTTTGAAACCATTTCTAAATCTTTGTTTTTTAATCATTCTACCTCACCTTCTATCCTCTTCTGCAACAAGATTTGGAAACCTGTGTGTGTGTGTGTGTGTGTGTGTGTGTGTGTGTGTGTGTGTGTGTGTGTGTGTGTGTGTGAGTGACAGACAGACAGAGAAAGAGAGAGAAAAAAAAGAAAACTAGTAGCAGCAGAAGTTAGTCTACCGCAGTTTTTGCCAAACATTATCATTCATGTAGTGAGATGCAAATTAGTATAATTTGCATATGAGCAGGTAGCTCATATGATAAACGGACACCAACTAGAACAGAGGTTGAACGCTTACTTAGCAATATACACGACAACAATGGCGTCGTCGATAGGATACTCTTTGGTCCTTGAAGACCCAGAATACATAGATACGTGGATTCGTTGCTTTGCTGCTAATGCAAGACGTAAAAAGTTGAAAGACAACAAAAACAGAGGAGGAGAAAATGAAATCACTGACTTGTTTATGGCTACCGCTGGTTGTGAAGCAATTATGAAGGTTGCTACAATGGTTTACTCTCAAGAACTAGAAGAAATGACTTTCGAAGAAATAAGTCAGGTTATTAAGGGAAACATGAGGCCAAAGAAAAGACTGGTGATTGCAGAAAGGACCAAGTTTATGGCAATGAAGCAGGAAGTGGATGAACCGATAGTAAAAATATTTACACTGGTTAAGAAGTGCGAGTAAATACTGTGAATTCGAAAACTAGGAACAGGAGAGCAGATAACGGAAGAAGAATTAATCCAACTAAGATTAATTGATGGTATGCATAATTCAGCACATAGATATAAGTTAATGGAACAGTTACAACTTACAAACATGCCTTTGAATATGTGTATAGAATTTATACAACAGCAGGAATTAATACATACCTACAACCAAAATAAAAATAAATCCTACAAAGAAATAATGGCTGAAACATATATGGTACAAACAAAAAGAAAAAATTAAAGCGTGCTGTGGAAAAAATTCATGAAATGAAAAAAGAAAATGCCCAGCCTTTGGAAAAACCTGTTCAAAGTGTTTAAAAAATCACTTCAAAGAAGTATGTAAAACGAAAAATGTGGAAAAGAGTAGAGGATGAAAATAGACAGATTTTTAATGTAAAAAAGGATAATATACAAAATACTGGATCTAAGAACGGAGATACAAAAATAAAAGTGAAAGTCAACGACTGTATTGTCGAAATGCAAATCGACACAGCTAGTGAGGTCACGATAGTACCCAGAAATTTGTGGGAAAAAATGAGAAAACCGTTTTTAAAAAAAAACCAACATACAATTACGTCAGTTTGATGGCTCGATTATAGCAATTATGGGTTACTTTGAAGGTTCAATACAACTAAAAGAAAAATATGAAATAGTACCCATTATAGTTACAAATTGCCGAAAAACGCATGGACTACTGGGGAATGACGTATTAAAAATAAATTCAACGAAGTTGATTAATGAGATAGAAATAGAAAAAACAGGAAAATTAAAAAATTATGAAGCTAGCCTGAAATTAAAAGAAAATGTTTCCCCTACTACTAAGCGAGAGAAAATACTAGTGCATTTATTACCGTGGTAATAGCTAAATTGCGAAAGCTAATAAAGGAAGACTTATTTGAACCTGCCCCCAGGAGGAAGTAAATGGGCATCACCCATTGTGGTATTGAAAAAAAAAAGATGGTGACCTGAGAATTTGTGGAGATTATAAAATAGGGGTGAACCATAAAGTTTGTGCTGACTCGCACCCTATTCCAAATGTGGAAGTAGCTTTACATAAACTTGCTGGAATGAAAGTATTTTCGAAGATAGACCTAAAATCAGCTTACCACCAAATACTGATAAATGAAAATTTTAAAGAAGTGACGACCATAAACACACCTATAGGCCTGTTAAGGTGGAAAAAGAATGCCGTATGGCATAAAAACAACAAGTGCAATTTTTCAAAAGCTATTGAAAAGTAATAGGAAATGTTGAAAATACCATCAAGACGATATATGTGTTGGAGATTTAAATGAAGATGATTTAAAGAAAAAAAAACTGAAAATATACTGAACCGCTAAGAGACGCTGGTATGACAATAAATACAAAAAAAGTGTAACCAACAGTAATGAAATATCATTTTTGGGTTACTCAATATCAAAGGAAGGGATCTCTCCAGATAAAGTACTAATAGAGAAAATTCTAAAAGTTGCTACACCGAAAAATAAAAAAGAGTTGGTGTCCTTAGGTTTGGTAAATTTTTATAGAAAATATGTACCAAAATATAATGAGTTAACAGAACCATTTGCTAAGTTAAGAAAAAAAAATGTGGAATTCATTTGGTTAGAACACCAACAGAAAGCCTTTGAAAACTTAAAACAGATTCTGGCAAAAAAGCCAATAGTACAAATTTTTGACCCTAAGAAGGACATAACTAACTACCGACGCTAGTGAGCAGTCCATATCTGGTATTTTGTCACAAGATGGGCATCCCATAATGTACCTATCGAGAAGATTAACAACAACTGAACACAATTATTCGAATATAGAAAGGGAGGCACTAGCCATAGTGTGGACAACGGATAGAGCAAGACAGTTTTTGATGGGAAAAAAATTCTTGTTGAAAAGTGATCACAGACCACTGGAATTTATTTTCAACCCAAGAAAAGAGCTACCGAAAGTTACAACATCCAGAATATTACGTTGGGCGATTAGACTGATGGTGTTCGACTTTGACATTGAATATGTTAAAGGGAATATGATACCGCACGTTGATGCCTTATCTAGATCGAGGTTTTATAGAGAGGAGAAGGACAAAAACAACGAGGAATTTGAAGACACATTCTTGCACCTTGTAGAAACCGATGTAATATCTGTAGATAAAATGGCTACTGAAACTACAAATGACCCAGTGTTAAATAGAATAATATCGAGGATAAAACAGAATCGCTGGGGAAATTGTTCAATGGCTGAAAGACCATTCAAAGAAATCAGACATAAAATGACTATAGAAAACGGGATAATATATAATGGAGACTTCAGTTTCCCCCAGAAACACAGAGGAGACAGGTTATAAAAAGTGTACACGATGATGTACATTGGGGAGTGGCAGCTACGCAAAAAGAAGATTAAAATTGGAAGCATGGTGGCTGGTACTCAAGAGACGAAGACTACGTAAAAAGATGCAAAAAATGCACAGAACTCAGGAATTTTAAGCAAAAAGTAAATACATGTATGGCCCCGAGAAGTAGAACCATGGAGCAGAGTACACATGGACCATGCCTATGTCAATGGGATAGGACTATTATTAATATTAGTAGATGCATATTCAGGTTGGCCTGAAGTGGTGAGAGTACCTGATAAAAAAAAGTACCACCGTAAAACAAATATTAAGAGTAATATTTTTGAGGAATGGGACACCGAGAACATTGGACTGATAACGCACCAGAATTTGTAGGGTGCTGATTTGCATGAATGGCTAAGAAAAATAGGATGCAGACCTTACAAGACCCCTCCCTATCACCCCTCAAAGTAATGGGACAGCGGAAAGGATGGTCCAGACGGTAAAGAAGGGCATAAAAGCATGCTTGCAACAGAAGGAGGAAATCGATGCTTTTCTACCAAGACTATTATTAAGTTACAGAACAATTCCACATGCAGGCAGGCGGAAAGTCCATCTGCCTTAATGGGCAGACAATTAAGGTCCCTTTTGACTATGTCATATGCCACAAATCAAAAGATGTGGTACAAAAAGAAATAGGAATATGCAACCCGAGTCAGCTGAATTTATTATGCAGAAAGGACATAATACTGCAATATTAAATAAAGGAAATGGGAACAGTGTTCTAGCTCATGCTGACCAAATAAGATCCCAAGGAGAAGAATCGGATGAGGAAATGCCTTCAGAGATGCCCATTATTGACATAACAGAAGAGTTAATGCAGAATGAAACTGCGGAGGAAGAAGTAGAGAGGGATGAGTTAGAAGAGGAAGAAGTAGAATGGAACAAGTTAGAAGAGAAAGACCAGAGTATGCAAGAGGAACAGTTCGATTATAGGGAAAGACGTGATAGATCTAGATCTCCAAGGGAAAGGAGAGAGATAAAGGAAGATGTTCAGGAGGGCACAAGAAGAAGTACAAGAAGTACTCATGCATAAGGCCCCTCTGTTATAGGGAGATGTAGTGAGATGCAAATTAGTATAATTTGCATATGAGCAGGTAGCCCATATGATAAACGGACACCAACTAGAACAGAGGTTGAACGCTTAGCAATATACACGACACAACAATTCAGTCATTGAATAGTAATGTATGCCAAAAATAAATATGATTTCAAAATTTATATTATTATCAATTACTTGTAACTGCAAGCACGAGTCCCAGTATAAATAGTTATAAAAAATTATTGACCAATTTTATCACTGTGATAATTCTGCATTATATCAAGTATTAAGGATATAGTAACTAGGGTCTGTAAATTGGAGGAGAGAGTTATCAATAATGTTCTGACTTTGAATCTGCGGTTATCTCCCTTTAAACCTCTCTATGATTTTTATTTTTAAATGTACTTTTTATCACATACAATTTGATGAGATGTTGAGCAAATTTTCATTCCAAAAATGTGGCCCAAAGAAAAAAAATGTTTGTGAATCATTGCACTAAGTGGAAAATTGAAAGCTACACAAACTATATGCTGACTACATACATCCATTGTATCACATTGTGAATTAATTTCAGTTAAAAAAAAAAAAAAAAAAAAAAATTGTACAATGAAAGCAAATCAGTGTAAAAGAAATATTTTTAATAAACACTAATGATTAAAGTTTGACCATTTAATTCATTGTTGTACAATATTTTTAAGTGAGAAAAATTCATTCACAAATGATTTTTATTAAAGAAATATTTGCATGTGAATTTATTTTCAAAAGAAATTATCTATATCATTCTATAATTTTAAACACCCATTTAAGTAACATTGAAAGCAAAAAATACTCTGGCAGAATTACCCCAAAATTGATATCATTTAAAAGCTTACCTTGGTTTCGAGTTAGAGTAGAGGTTTGAGAAGAGATGATTGTTGATTCATCACTGCTTTCTTCCTTTCCAAAACTAACAAAAGGATGGACAATTCTGCAAATAAATTTATGATAAAAGTCATGTAAAATCAAGTATAACCTTTCAAATTCTTTTTAATAGAAATTATGTTAAAAACAATGGTTTTGCAAACCAGACACTTGTAACATCTTATACATACATATACACAAAAAAAAATATGTAGTATCGAATTTAACATTGATAGATATAAACATTACCGATGTTAATTAGTAAGTATTTTTTTTTATAAAAGTAAAACCATATATAAAATGTTAATCTACATCAATTTCTGCTCTTTATGATTGATTATGTCTGTTTGACATATCAATTCCTTATGGGTCAATTAATACCAAAATTTAATTTTCTTGGGAAAAGTATTATTTTGAAGTAATAAAAATATGATATAGGTTATTCTGCTTTCACAATTGAATACATGGTAGATGATGCAACTTTTGTGCATATACATGTTTGTGTAGAAGTAATTACTAGGTGGTGGTGATATACATGTTTTATGTTGTAGTTTTGTTGAAGTTACATTTTGGAATATAGCTTGATTTCTTTAAGATTTAGTTTTGGTTCTGCTCAACTAATTTGTAGTAATGTGAAATGTCAAACAACAATAATGGTTATGATGAACACTGAAGGAAATAAGATCAGTAGCAATGTTGCCAGGCTTAAAAACATTTAAAATCTTAACATTTTCTACTTTATGACCACTGCTAACTTACAATTGTATCTTGTCCTACTGATATAAGGTGGAGATAGAAAGACAAAATTTACCCTTATGCAAATTTATAAAAAGATGAACATATACAAAGACATCACAATGAACACAAAATGGTCAAGTTTATCAATAAGTAAATTTTCTTTTTTAAAACTGGACATTCACTGAGAAAGTAAAGTTTGCCATTACAAAATCATTTCATTTTTAAAATCATCTTTTTGAAAATAAACAGCTTCCAAAGAAAACTATTTTTTTTTTTTTTTATAAAGAGGGGACAATCTACATCAGAAAAATAAGCTTTTGGAGTAAATATTAATTTTATCATGTTGCAGTTTTTCTTCAAGAAACCAAAATTATCTTTCACAAACTAATTATTTCTTGCTTTACAGTCAATATTTATAACAAAATTCCCCATAAGAAGAAATTCTTACAATTGTTTTGTTATTTACATCTTGATCAAGACAATCTTGTCAATTTTTCATTTATATTTCTCTCAATGCACTTTGATAGTGTTTTATAAAAACAGAATAACAAATTATCAAAATTTGTTTCTTACCTATTCTCTTTGCTGGTATCTATAGAAGAACGTTCTTCACAAGATAAAGTTTTCCTCATCTCTGAAGATGAAGTCACTGACAACTGCCCAATTTTATCTTTGACTGCATTCTGAAATTAAGTAAACAAAAAAAAACAAAAATCAATCTTAATTAACAGAGTTTGATCATTTAGGCTAAATTTTTATCAGGAAGTTAAATCAAATCTATAATGATTCAGTTTTTATGTGTTGCCAGATCACTGAAAAATTAGGCTGCTGCAAAGATTTTTGTTATACCATTTTAGCAGTAGTGTGCTTAGTAGGATAAACATTTTTCAGTTCAACTTAATCATATAAAGTGCATAATTGCTCTTTGACAATGATCAAAAAAGGAAAAAAGTAATGTCAAAAGGACAGTTTTTCCCTTGACACCACTATTATTTTAACTACCTTAAACTCCCTGGCAATTGTTTATTGCACAATGACAATATCATAAAGAGATTCTTATGATGCAGATTTTTTTTTTTTTTAAAAATGTGAGATTTGAATTTTTGGAATGATAAAATTAAATGAGCTAGAAAATGCCATTTTGCTAGACAGTTACAAATAGTAGTTGTGTACCAAAGAACAAATTATCAGTTATTGTTGGAAAGGTTCAACCCCTGCTGTCATTGATTGATTTGTTCTTTTATGGCTTATCAAACTTTTCCAAGTTATTAAAAGTCGGATAATATTTTTTAGATTGTAAGAATTTTGTAGAGATAATAATGATAGTTTACAACAAATAGTATGTATATTTAGTACTTAACTCTTGAAACCTTACTTTTCTGTGATCTTCTGAGTCAATGTAAAACTTTGCAACATGACTATTTTGCTTCAATCTTTATTAAACATAAATCTTACCAGTAACTTGTCACACATTGGTGTAAAATTTGTGCTGGTTACAGGATCCTTTCTCATCGTCTGTTTCATGTCAGACTGCATAAACTTGAAACTAAGGATATTATACCAACGAACACAGACTTCCCTCTGATTGAAATCAGCAAGACTAATATGTGCACATCCCTATAATTAAAAACAGAGTAAATAAAAATTTTTCTTAGATATTAAGTATAAATACCAAAATTTATATTGTTTAATCTCATCTTAAAAAGAAAAATTAAAATACATGCAATAAATTAAAAAAAATGGCATAAAGGTATTATATATTTATTAATTGGGATCAAATATAGATAAAATATACATTTGAATCCAACAGAACAAAATAAAGAACAAAAAGAAAATGTTTATCAATTTAACATGTTTCCCTTTTATCATCATCAGAGAATGAGATATGGAGAAAAAGAAAAATCCTGTCATTTTTATTTTTGTATTGTTTAATTTTCATTGGTTAATCAGGTTTCACATGCATTTGACTTGTTAAACAAATGTTAATATAATTTATGATGTTCCAAATTCAAGGAGAGATAAAATGTCCTTTCAAAGTTCAAAGAAATCAACAGGCTCCAAGCCCAACTGAAAAACTAAATATTACTTTATGTATGTAAGTTTATAATAATTCTAGTTTGTCTATGTGGGATTCAGATGATAATGTGTGTAAATCTAGTAGACATTACGTTTGGTGGTTTTCGGATATTGATTTGGAACATTTTTATATGTTCATACAAATTTAATCTATTTAACTCTGAACTTGTTATTTCATTTGCATGCTTTCCTGTCAGAAAAATTATGCCAAAAGAACAATGTTATTTTAAACATTTCAGCCTTTTAAATGTTTTTCAAAATAATATAAATGCAGTAACAAAGGCTCATTCATATTTCTAACATCTTTTGCCACCATTTCCTCACTCCCTCAAGTAAAGTCTAAATTTAATTTACTTTCATAAATATGTAATCTAACAAAGATCAGTATTTATTTAAAAATAGCTCCATTGTTTTCATTTTTACAGAAAACATTTTTTTAAAATCAGGACATTAAGGCAACCCCTTTTGCAAAGTAAGTTTTTCAAAATATTTCTGGTTTTATATAGACAATTTTAGCATATGTCTTATTCAGTTTTATTAATTGATAATAATCAAACTTGCATTTATAAGTTAAACACAAGATGTAGAAAATATCTAGATTAACATACCAAACATTCTGGTTCCTTATCATCAGGAATGCTCAAAACATTCACCTGTAATGTTTGAGCATGCAGCATGTTTTTATGAATGGCAACTTTGAAATTTTCACCAAATTTGGGATTCTTCAGTTCTGTTGATGGCTTTGTCTCCCAAGATATAGACATTAATGGAAGTAAAGCAGCTTTAATGCTACTGAAAAAAATAAACAAAGTAAATTTGATTATAACAAGACAAGCATCATTACTTGTATACTAAGTCAGTAACTTTAAAAGTAGTCAAGATTTTAGAAATTCCCATGGCACTACAACCTGCTGGTATATCTGATAGAATACAGAATATTAAATCTTTTTTTCCATGATAAAAATGCACAACCAAGAAGTATTTAAAAAATGTTTGGTTAGATTTTGGGAAGATAGTTAAGCTGAGAACTTTTCATTACCCACCTCAAATAGAATTCTAAATTTTTAACCTGAAGTTTGATATTATTTACCACTGTTTTATTTTCTTTAATGGTAATGAAAAATATAATGAATATTGTTCAATATATGCTTTTAACTATCTAATACCACTAATGTACAGTTACATTTTAAAACTATGAGGAATTAGAATTATAAATTTAACCAGTAACATTTTAACATAAAAAAATTATACTTTTCACTTACACTCTTGTCTTCTCAGGAAGTGGTAATGCTGCAAGATTACGAGCTTGTTCAATCTCAACATGAAGCATTCCCTCATAGGAGTCATAAGACTCATATCTATAATAAAAATAAAAAAAATCCAAGTGTCAACATGTGTATATATATATATATATATATATATATATATATATATATATATATCTATCAATGGTTGTTATAAATTTTATGTTAAAAAATTGTTAACCAAAAAAGTAAATTAAGTACTATATAAAAAATATATACACTGGTTACAGATTTCAAAATATTTAAAATAAAGGCACAAATGAATTTTCTGTGTTTACAGCTGCACCAAGTTAAATATAGAAAAGGGTGGCAATACACTCGGGTTAATTTATCTAAGTTATAAAACCAAAATTGAACTACAGTTTGTCCACTGGAACATTTCACACATCAAATTGTTTTTCAATATACTTTTCTTTTATTCAGTAATTAATTGCATAGATTAAACATTATACAATAAAAATTATAAATAGGATTGTCTAAAAACAAAGTGCAAGAGGTTGTTTTATTTCTAGAGATAACATTAGATTATTAGTAATTCCTGTATGCTTGAAGTCTTTGCTAATAATTACTCTCTGTTGGTCTTTGAAGGTCTTTTATATTCATTAAATATGTGGATTAGTACCAGGAAACTGACTAATGGAGGGACTACAAATCAATAACCAGGCATTGTTGTTATGGTCATACCTGGCCCAATTTTTTTTTTTTTCATTTTTTACTAGTTAAAGAGATTTATTTTTTAAAAATTGACTGAAGAAAATTTTTTTTTCTTTTTACTCTTACAAAAATCTGTTTTGGTGATACATCAACAAAATTCCTCCAGTCTAATCAATAATAATCACGTTTTTTTTTTAAAATCATTTCATCCCAAGCAAGACAATATTGCCACTAGGATGCAAGAGGTTACTAGGTTTGAAAGAGAATGAGAAGACTTTAGTGAAGAGACAGGATAATAAAAGAACAGGATTCAGAAAGGCAGATGGTGATTGCATTTAAATTTTTGAAGATTGTAGGAGGCTGGGAAGCAAGAAACTATTAGAATAGAACTGACAGTTATATCTTGCTAATTCAACAGTCAAACAATGAGACCTAATTGCCAATCTAGTAGTATGCTCAAATTCATGTGGTCGAGATACCAGAGAGAAATGTTCATTTTCATGGTGGTGAGAAAGTAACTGCAGTCAAGATGCCAGGTCAGGACCAATAGCATTACAGACCCTTTTTTTAATTTTGTCAAGAATCTAGAGATATATAGCAGGAGCACCAGAACAGTAGCAATATTAAATGCATAAACAAATGGTAGATTTATGTGTAAGATGGATTGTGATGAGAAAAATTGTCTGGCATGACACAGTGAACCAACTTTCCTGGCAACAGACCTAGCAAATGATTCAATATAATCACTACTTCATGTCAGTGGAAAACATGAGACCAAGAAGGCATAATGAGGTTAGCATCAGCCATGCTGATGGAAGATGAAAAAGTTTCTCTATGGTGATTAAAAGATAGTAGTTTTGTTTTGGTGGCGCTCAAATTTATAAGCCATTCCTTGCCCCAGATAACAACTGAATGGAGGACATTTTTGAGAGCAGCTGGAGCAAATAGTTGTCATCAACATAAATACCTAGTTGGAAATTGATAATATCAGGAAGAAACAGCGTAGGTCCAAGAATAGAGCCCTGAGGGACACCTGCATTAATGTGAAATGATCTACAGGATTCAACATGACCTTCATTACATGATTTGTTAAGAAGGATTGGATTAAGCCAAATAATCATCCAAAGACACCATAACCCTTCAGTTTGTGAAGAAGGCCAGTATGCCAAACCCTGTCAAACACCTTCAAGATATATAAAACTTGAGCCCAAGCCTCACCATTCTTATCCAAAGCCTGATAGACAAATTCACTAATAACCTTTAACACATCAGTGGTAGACCTAAAGAAGCGAAAGGTATTATTTATCCAAAAGAAGGTCATGTGAAGTGAGATGCCCAACAAATTCAAAGTTGATTAGAGCCCCTGGTACATTGTTAGAAACAGTTAAAAGACTAATCAGACAATAATTTGAGGAATCAGACTGATCTTATAGAGATAATGACATCGATATACTTTTCTTCTTGATGGACCATTAATACCATAAGCTGTGTATTTTGGCTAGGGATAACTAACTCCAATGCCTGGTTATTGACATACAATCCTTACATTGGCCAATTTCCTAGCACTAGCCCATATATTTAATGTATATAAAAAAAACTTTCAAAGACTAACAAGGAGTAATTACTAGTTGGAATATACTGGAACTTTGAACAGTCTAATACTATCTAGAAATTCTTCCTATAAATGTACTTACTTTAAAATTATTTTGATTTGTGCACTTTCCATTTGTAAAACTTCATCCAAATCACCAGTTCTATAAAAAATATAATCAGATAATTAGGCAAAGGAAATAGTGAACAGTTTTGTATAAAAACTGTCATCCAAATTTAATACATTCAAAACTTCATCCAAGTTGTAGAAAAAAAACCCTAAAAAACACATTTAGAAGGAAATGGTAAACAGTTTTGTGTAAAAATTTCATGGTGCATATTTTAATAATATAGTTAGATGGGTACTTCAGAAAATAAACAAGACTATTTCTTTATATTCAACTAATGGTTTTAATTTATTGTATTAAAGTTTATTGATGCTATAGCTTTTACTTAAATTTCATTGTTATAGCCAAACTTTTAGTAAATTATTTCTGTTTCATATTCACATTTCAGTAACAGGCTTACAAACATTCACTTCTGAAAGTTAATAGCTTTCAAATTAAGATTGATTCCTAAGTAAGATTATATAAATTACCACAAAAGTAACTAATTTTCATGTTCAGATGATTCAAGTGAAAGCATCTCTAATCTAGTTTTATTTGATATCACATAACAATGTTAAAACCCATTATATTTTACCAGTGATACATTTATCATGAAACAATAAGACATTTGTTGTTAGAAGTTATATAGGAAACATCACACAAGGGTACACATTGTCTCAAATAAAACATGCCAGAAACAAGCAACAGCTACTTTACATATGAACAAAAGTTTATGTACATTCCTGAAATAAGTTACAAAAAAACGTTTTCTTCAGTGAGTCCAATAGATTCATATGAAATTATACACTTTTGTAACCATTGTAGAATCATTAAGAATTTTAATATATCAATTATTTAAATGTCATGAAGATATAGGCAATTATGACCTCACTGATTCCATTTCTTTATCTATGAATTGACATGACTTCTTGGGAAAAGAGTGGAGTGGTTTATCATTGCCCTTTCCACAGTTTTGAATTTTGGATCATCATCTATACCAATGTCCATTCAGGATGGAGGCAATCATCACTCTTCATGGTGTCTTGGGAAAAGAGTGGAATGGTTTCTCATTGCCTTTTCCACAGTTTTGTATTACTGGTCCTCATTGATACCATATCCCTTCAGGATGGAGGCAATCATGACTCTTCACTGATTGCTTTTCTTTATTATCTATGAACTGCCATGACTTCTATTGAAAAGAGTGGAGAGATTTCTTATTTCCATTTCGACAGTTTTGAATTTCTGGTCATCATCTATACCATATCCCTTCGGGATGGAGGCAATCATGACTCTTCACTGATTCCTTTTCTTTATTATCTATGAACTGCCATGACTTCTTGAGAAAGAGTGGAGAACTTCCCAGTTGCCATCTCCAGTTTTGAATTCAGTACAGTTGTTGGATATCGGTTAAGCAAAGATCTTTTGGCCTTACTTCTGCTGCATCAGTGTGTGAGCAGAAATTGGGACTGATGATAGCATAAACAGGAAATGCATCCAGTGGTTAAAATAAACAAGGTGCATAGTTGTCCTGAGAGGAAGGAAATGCATACTTGCATGGACACATGCCAGAAAAGGTGTGGCCACACAAAGTTGCATAGGCAACAAAATGTTATTTAACTGGTCCAATTCTTGGTCTGGCTAGAGGCTGGCCGAGTTTCACTGAAGAATCATCTCCATCAATCCCTGTGTGCATAATCCTAACCTCTTTTATTCTCTCTCACTCTATCCATTCACCACAACTCAAACAATAAAGATATATATATATATATATATATATATATATATATATATATATATATATATATATATATTCACTGCCTTATTTGAGCCCAGCAGCAATATATTACACAGTCCTAAAGTGGCTGTCACCAAAAGGTAGGAAAGTCCAGTCTACCCTGCTATTTAAATCATAGCTGGGTTCTTTGCAATTGAAGCCAACAAACTTTACTGAAATTTGCTAGGTGATACCTTTTTCTGTGTCAATAACCATTACCTGCACAGAAGAGGATGGAATATCCTGATTTTAAACTTTCACTGCTTTGTGGCATATAGAAAAGGCTATGGAAGTAAATTCAAACAGAAAATCCAGAATGGTGTCAAGCTGACCTCAAACAATGCTTTGCATCCCTTTGGATCTTGTCAGTATGTTTAAGAGAGGAGAAATGTGGTCTGGGTAGTGCACAGTGTCTATATATCATTGCCCAGGTCTGCTCTCTAGATAGGTCTTTCCAATCTCATAACTAAAACACTGAATTTTTACCAAAACAGTATGCTCTTGCAAGAGATGCTTACTTGCTACTTACTTACCTGTACATCCTATTACTACATCTGAAAACAGCAAGAAATAAACTTGAAATTGAAGTTGATTAAAAAGCTAGATCTATTTTATATGCTAAATCCCTTCAGAATATATGTGATCATGGTTCTCCACAGCTTCCTGGTTTTTACTGCTATAATTTTTTTTATCATTTTCTATCCCTTTTCCCCCCTGTTCTACTATCTATTAACAGAAATTAGTTTTAAGTTTCTTCTGCTTGCCTTGCCTTCAGTATTTCCTTTGAGTATTAAATTCTCTAGGCTTTTTTCCTCACAATATTTTTAGGCAAACATATCTACTTCTATTGAGGAGGAAAAAAAGTAAATAAATAATTAGTAAATAAAATTTCAGTGTTCAGATGAAAACATGAGCAGTATAGAAACTTTAGAAGAAACCAGAAACTCAATCTTAAACAGGATAAACTTCTACTATTCAAACGACCAGGGAGGAGTGTGAACGAAACAATAGATGAATCAAATGTGTCTCAGAAATTTCAACTGATTATATGTTATTTTCATTTTGACTTTGTTTCTTATAACTTCTGAGAAAATACAGTACAAACTATAAATCATAAAATAAAAATATATAACAAGAAAAAAAAAAAAAAGAATTTACCGTTTAACTGAGGCTTCAAAAACTCCACTGTCTCCTGTAACAGACTCATCACTAACAGCAGCTGACACACTACTTGTATTTACTCCTGACAAATTGTTGCATACTCCAGAACTACTCTCACTAATAGGACTGAGAGGAGGATTTGATGCAATGTCCGTGTTGTCGACAAATGCTGACTGTGTATTTACAGCTGCTTGCTTATTGACTGGATTTCCATGTGAACTGTTGCCACTGACATCAGAGTCCAATACTTGCAACATATATGGAAGGACTTGAAATAAAGGCATGGCACCGGTCGAATTAGTGTTATGCATTACATGGGGCAGAGCACTGTCGGAGCCTGTGGATAAAGATGGAGTCAGGGCTCTTTTGGTAACAGTTGTAGTATTAGTGGTGGCTGTTGAAGTTGTTGTTGTAGTACCAATCACCAAGCGCTTTTGACGTTCAACAGCATTCATATGCTGTTCATATGATGGAGGTGGGCCAATGTCGTAGGGTGATGTAGGTGGTGATAATGAAGAGAATGATGAGTGTGGGGATAAGGATGACTGCTCACTACCACCAGTAGCACCACCAGTGGCACCCTGGGGCTGCTGACTTCCCTGCACCTTCCTCAATGAAAGTGGGTGGGAGGAGGATGAAGATGAGGAACCAGTAGCACCACTACCATTATCACTACTAGAAGTTGCAGTTACAGATGCTGCTTGAGTAGGTAGAGCTGCAGAGGTTAAGAGACTAGGACCAGATGCCCCTCCCATTGAAGGGGTACTCATTGCAAGTTCTTTTTCAGCAAGTCCAGGAGAGATACTGTATCCAAGTAATCTTTGACCAACACATCTGTGAAGGTCTTGTAAATTTTCATTACTCAGTTGTGGTTGGCTGTAAATATCAGTCATGCTCGTGGATGCAAGTGAACCATGGCTACTGGCTGATAATGAACCAAGGGATCCCAAAGATCCTAAACTTGACCCGGATGAAATAGAGAGTTGGCTGGTCGAAGTACTGAAAATAAATAAAAAGATATAAAAAATTGTGGGAAAGGAAGTTTTTCTCATCAAAACTTGTATATTGGAGAATAAGGTAAGTTGATTTTAAATTTTTCTATCAACATAGTTAGGGTTTAAGGAGGAAAACTAACATCAAATTTTAAATTGCCAATTTTTCTCTCATTTGAGGAAGCATTCAAAAACTGCCATCTAAAATGCATTAAAAAATAAAATTGTTTTTGCAACCTTCAAAAAAGTTTGATATTTTATTAAATAAAGAATATAATACACAAATGCAGATTATATATTTAAATAATTATATTACCAAATTTTTGCATAAAAACCTTTACAGACAAAAGATTGTTATTCCCAAAGCAGACATTACACCTCCAGAGGGGGCAGTAAGAAAAAAGTGGGAAGCCAGAGGGTGGCAGTGGTACCTCTGAACCATAACATACCCCACAAACACATTGTATGTGAAGTGTATCTTGCCTTCACTTTACAGTGTAACCGATTTATACAACAATTATTGTGGGAAATACTAACATACTCATTTGACATTCAATACTAACACCAAGAAAAACCAATCAGAGGTTGACCATACATTTGGAGCAATGGGGCATTAGGATTCTGTATTAGACAAGGTGTGGCAACACAAAAAGTTTGAGGACCACTGATTTAAGACAACATAAGTTTTTCACAAGAATAATGTATCTTGCTTCAAGTCCATAAGCTATGAGATGAAGGGGATGAAATAAATCCAATTGTGTCATTTATCAGTAAAATGAATGACTCGGTGATAACAGATTCACAAAAGCCCACTTCTGATAGACTTATTCATTCTGATCAGTGTAGAGATTCAAAATTAATGACAGCAATTTTATTGAATCTTTTGTTGGTGGGATTCCTTCTCATAATAGAATAAAAAATCCAATTTCTATTTGGATTTAAACAAATTCATCACAACTTGTTTTATTCTGATGAGTTATTTATCATGCAGTTGTGGTTGATATGCACTTTTGATTTATACACATATTGATCTACATGCTAAAGTTAACCACCTTATATTATTTAATGGTCCAATTTTCCAGGTAGAAAATCTATGACATTAGCTGCAATTTGAATATATCATTTACACTTTTTAATAATATATTTTATATAAATATGTACTTTTATAATTTTTTGAAGAGCAAGAAATACTGCAGATCATTTATTTCACCTAATATTGTTGAAGAATTCCAAAATTTCAATGTTTGAATTGAGGTCTTCAAATGATGGAATAAGAAATAAATAATTTGTTTTTATTTTCTCATGCTCAACTATATAGACTTACCCAAGACTATGAAAAATTGACCTACCCTATTGGAGGATAATTTTAAGTATTATGTTCTTTCAGGACATCATATGTCTCCACAAATTAATGAACTGCTAAAGGAACCACTTTTAAAAGAAATCCAACAGGTTTATGGGTAGCCTAGTATTCATATAAATTAAAAGAAATATACTCACCTTTTTAGTTGTGATTCTAAAAGTGTTACCAACTTAGATGTGTTGTGCAACTGCTGAAGTATGTTTACTTTGTGATCTTCCAATTTTAATCTGGAAAGGGGAAAAATGACATCTAAGGTTTTAAAAATGGTAGATTTCATACAAGTATGATAATAATTGTGCTTGTTACTCCCTTCATTAGCCAATACCTCATAAATAATAGACTATACCATTTTGACCATATAAAAGGACATATCAGAAAGGTGCTACTTGATTTCAGTGAGAAAATGAAAGCAAGAAAGGGGAGATAGAAGTGCTTAACATCTGTTTCAATGAAATAGAAAATGTTGTCAATTTCAAGTCTTTTCATTTGTACTCCCTTACTATTTAAAATAATAACCAGCATTCATATTTATCAATGTTATTGCAATATTTCATTAAAGTTGTCATGCTCAAATACTTAGCAATACAATAGAGGAATTTCTACAGATATTTTACTGTCAGAACTCACTAGGAGCTTATTCAATCATTAACTCATTAATTATGAATTAATTAAAATCCATCAGAAGTTCCAAATAGGAAAACCGTGGGTTAAAAATAGTTGTAATAAAGGTTAGGTGTAGCATTTATTTAGAAAATGCACTAAAAAAAGAACTACTCATACAATAGCAGAGATAATGCACATTTAAAGTAATCATTATTTATATTAGGTATCAAATGATATGGAGAGGGAGGCTAAACTTATAATGATCGTAGAACAATTCATCAGTTTTATTAAAAATTCAATTTAAGAGCATTTGAAACCAATTAAGAGAAAAAAAAAAAAAAAAGGTTAAATTTAATCTTACTGAATAAACTTGCAAACAAAATTACTTCAGTTTTAATAAACATTCCATCATTAATTGCTCACCAAATTTTTTTCTGTGAATAGAAAGATCTTTGATATACTTAACATAGTTTAAAGATGTTCACAGAAAAAAAAAAAAAAAAAAAAAAATGTTCACCTGACCCCCTCCTACACCCACCACACAAACTGACCAAGCATGACACCACTCTCTGGGAGACTCCACATGGGTGCTTCACTGAATACTTTTAAAATCACCAGTAACCACTTTAATCATGTTTGACCTCTTCAAGCCAAGGGTCAATCCTTATCTAACTTATCCTTATAATCTCCATTTTCAACTAAATCTTCCTTTCATATCATTCAACATTACCATTTTGATTGTAATCTCTACCTTGAGTGGTCTTCGAGCCTTGTATTGAGTAATATTTAAAAAAAATAAAAATAAAATAAAATAAAAAATAATAAATATCAAAAATCATTAGTAGGTAGTAATATACCTTATAAAAAGATTAATTACCTGTCTGCAATTGATTTATTGGAAATTGCAACTGCAACACAAATATCACTTTCTAACTGAGCAATTCGATTTCGGATAGAAGATAATTCGGGTTCACTTCGCCCTTTGGCATCAATGCTTTTCAGTTCACGCAACAGTTGTTCTTTCTCTTGTAAAAGTAATAACCTTTGAAAAATAATATTAATTCAAATATAAATTCAAAAATCAAGATCATACATACATGTACAAAAATATATGTTATACACACAGAAATAGAACTGATTTTGAGAACAAGATGTCTTTATTAAATTTAGCAATATTAACTTAATTTTTAACTAGTATTTGGTTTTAATTTAAGTTGATTTTTATAGCAGCTTGTTCTTCTATTAATTTCAATTCAATTAAAAATGAATAAGTATACCTGATAGTCATTACTCATAAATAGAAAACTTTATGTCTAATGAAGTGCATATTAGATTTTAAAAAGCTTTTTGATACCATGTCCCTACAAAGACATGACAAATGGAATTAGAACAAACTATCCCTGTGTACTAAATAAAGGGTTTGGTTTAAAATTCCAAGAAATAGCACCTGAAGAAGGCTGGCGCTTACAACAGCCGAAATGTTGTGAATATTGTAATAAAGATGAGGACAACAGTTCAAACAATATAAATATTTTTCATCACTATAACTTGCTTTGACATTTTAATTAAAAGAAAAAAAAAAATTCTCCAACACTTGACCTCATTAGTTAATAAAATGGAGATTAAAGTTAAAAAAAAAAAAAAAAAAAAAAAATATCTATATTACACTTGTGTTAAATAGTAATACAAAGAAAAACATTTGAACAACATCTGCAAATGGTGAATTATAAAAAGCGAAAAAAAATTTTATGCCTTAATATATTGATGCCTATATGAGGTTAGATAAACATGCTTAGAATAGAAAAAGAAATCTTTTTGTTTTGGCAAGTTACATTAAAGTGTAAAGTATTATGTTATATGTGAACCCTACACTTAATAAAATAAAATTAAATCAGCTGGTTACTATAATGCTTAGATGACTATAATATGAATAAGAAAACAAAATGTTAAAAGATTTTATATGTTGAATGTCATACCTGTCTTTGTCAGATTCCTTTTGTCCAGGGACCATCTGGGACTGTGTCTTCACTAACTGCATCTTCAGATTAGATATCGTTTTCTTCAACTCATCATAGTGTAATCGAATACGAGTTTGCTCAGCCAATTTGTTTTCACTGGATAAATTCAGCTAAAGTGAGATTAAAAAGAAAAAAAGAAAAGAAAAAATTATAACCATATTTGATAGCTTACAAGACATTGTTTACAGAAGTCTTGGAGAAACTACTACTTCAATAGCTTCATGTCTCGCACCTCTCGCCTGTGGAACTCCCTCCCCTTTTCCTGTTTCCCTGATAGCTATAATCTCCAACTATTCAAATGTAATGTCAATCGACATCTCCAGATGCCCTGATCTATCCCCTATCCTTCTCTTCATCCTTTCCTCTATCACTCCTATTTGCTCTAGCTCCAACTCTCTGTAACCCCTTTCATGCTAGTGGCTTCCTACCTTGCTTGGGGTGAAATGCTTATATAAAAAAAAAAAATAAAAAAAAAAAATTGCAATTCACCCAAACTTCAACAGTTCCTCCATATAGTATTATATAGAGAGCACTCTGAAGTTAATGAATAGCTTTACAATAATGTAACATTTACATTTTTAAAAAGACGTGCTGTTGATATGCCAGCTAATACTGTAAATTTGAGAGCACACCTGCTGTTTACAAATACATTATATTTGTCAAATTATTGAATTCGAGTTAATAGCAGTAACCATTAGGTCAAAATAATATTTTGATATACAAAGTTCTTGATCCTACCAATTATATTTTTCCTTTTCAGTGTAAATATGCATTTTACCTTATTGACAAATTTGACAATGAAGAGGACAAGGTTTTAACTACTACTTTCAGGGAATTATGAAAATTATGAGGCATTAGTTTGTGCTCATCCACCCACGCTTCAATTATTGTGACATGTCAGTGATGAGACTGTCAAGATATATAGTAATGGGGCCAAGCAAAGTGGATTTAGGTTTTTCTTAAGATTAAAGTGATCATCAATTATAATTTGATGAAATATGAACTATTCATTAATTTGTCTAGCAGATAATTTTAACTAAAATTTATCTGCTTTCAAGCATTTTCTCTACTTGATCATCAGTAAATAAAGATGAGTATTAGGATATTATTTGGTATTGATAATATACAATATAGAACAGCTAACAAGATGTGTTACTTTTAGTTAATACAAGGAATTTAATATCATTTGTGCAATGTATGTCTTATTGGGGATCCAGAATATTCATCTAAGGAACACTAGTCTAAGAATATTTGTCTAAGGAACACTCATCTAAAGAATATACGTCTAAGAAATATCAATCTTTAGCGTTATGGTGATAGTATTAATATACTAAATTAATATACTTATGGTGTTAATTAATATACTAAATTAATATACTAATTATGGTGTTAGTATTAATATACAAACAATGCATGCCTATAAATATTTATAAACCACATGTATGATCAGTAATTAATATTGCTGTAGGTGTCTTAAATATTATTCTGTAATGTTGTGAATATCAATAAAATTTTGCACAGGAATCAAGTGTTATTTATTAAAAAAAATATTATTATAGATCAATGTTCCTTAGACTAATATTTTTTAAATCCTTATTGCGACCCCTTCTGCAGTAAGTTTCAGATCAAAATTTAACATGAATAAATCAAAAATACTTACTTCCAAAGTAATATCTGTCTGAGAAGCTGTGCTTGCTTTTTCTTGAGGTATAGAAAGTGTTGAGATATCAGGAGAGGATCCATTATTTCTACCTAAAGTCAAGTCATCCTTTAATTTTGCAAGTGTCTAAAATTAAAAAAATTAAAAAAAAATATATGTATATAATAAATAAAAAAAAGCAAATTCATGAAATTTTCACTTAATATATTAGTAATCAACATTTGACTAAATTGACATGATATATATAATGAATCCCGATTAAAAAAAAAAAAAAAAAAATCATGGTAAACAAAGTCACAGGACAAGCTTAGCATACAGCAGATAAAATCTCAGCCTCTTATAAAAGTGGACAAGAACTCCATACTCATAAATAAATTGAAAATTCAAGGAACTTTTAATTCAAATTTTAATGTCAAATTGAGACTATTCACATGAAGTCAGGTATTATAGGCTACTAGGACTCCCTAACTATAAAATATACTGAATATGTGACCGTAGCATTGTTAGAAATCTTTTTTTCCGGTTGGATCAATTTACTACAAATTTCTGTTGCAAAAAGAATGAACCCATAAACTCAAGTACCCAACAGAAATACATTACTTTATTATTGGCCATTATTATAAATTGTGACTTTTTTCCTAGCCAAAATTGTGACTTTTTCCTGTGACTATTACTTGGCATGGATACAATGTTAAACATTTTATACAACTAAGAAAAATATTACTAAATATACATTAAATAGGAAATATTTAAAAAAAAAAAAAAAAAAAAAAAAATGGTTCACCGTGACCTTATTTTTAACAAATATACTAATTAATTTCATTGATAAAGTTTTTAAATTAACTTTAGTAGCTGATTTTTATGCTCCAGCTACAAATACTTAAGTTTATGAAGAAAAGAAAAAAAAAAAAAGCATAGAGACAAGAATTTATTTATTTTTGTCTATTTTTAGTCTTTAGTCAATTTTTACTATATTCCTTAAAGGACTTATCTTCAGAGTTTATTTTCAAGTTAATATTTAGAAAATGCTTATTGAAAAAAAAAAAATAACTTCAAGATTCATTTTTAAACATACTTCTAAAAATTATTTATAAAATCAAAGAGTTCAGACTAGATATAACCATAATAAAATGGACTAATTTAAAATTAGGTAATAGAGGAAAGTCAATGGGCAAAATAAATTGTAAGGTAAACATTAGATAAATCATATTTCTAGCATGTGAAATAAATATTTTAAACTAAATCTTTATTACTACAAATTAAATGACATTGTATTAAGTCTTTCTTACCCGCATGAGGTCTTGCTTTTGTTTTTCTTCTGTATTCAAACATTTCTTTGTTTGTTTAATTTGATTAATAATAGCTTGTGCTTCATCAACTGTGTAGCCTGCATCCATACTTGACAGCTTTTGGTCAACACTAAAAAATTTAAGATAATATTTTTATAAATTAAAAAGAAATCTACAGAAAAAGAAAAGAAAAAAAAAATTAAAGATTGTCTATAATAATAATAAACAGTTTTATTCAGCTGCACAAAATAGATTATTATTTTATTAGTACAAATTAGATTATTTTTTATTGAAAAACTCATCTGAAAACTTTGAAATTTCACAAGTTTTTATTAAATAAAACAAGTTAGATTAAAATGCCTATAAACACATTATGGGTATTTGGTATACAAAATACCATTCCCAATAAAAACAAAATTAATTTTCCCCCCAAAATCAAGAGATACCAAGCATAAATTAAAAGAAAACTGAAGTTTATCAACAGTTTCAAATTATGATTTTTAAAAACAGTCATTAAGCTGGCAAAACACAACATCTGAAATATTCATTTATATAGCATTTTAAATATACTAATTATAACAAAATAGTATAAGCATTCATTTTCAATACAACTTCAATTAAATTTGTAAATAAACTCATTTGAGATATCATCATCAACCCCAATTTAACACATTTGTACACATTTCAAGAATTCCAATGAAGATCAGACAGAAAATTACATTGAAATAGGACTGCTCCAAAATGTGCTAGTATTTTTTTTTTTTTTTTTTTGTTAGCAGAATAGATATAATTTTGAAAGATTCATTTAGATTGATTTCATTCTTTGGCCCCACATTTTGATAAATCTATTGTACAGCATACAATACTTATAGGAACTGAGTCTTTCCTAAGAAAAAAAAAAATTTAAAAACTGCAGAGGAAATAGCAGTCAATTCCCGACATAAGTCATATAAATAATATAATTTCAGTAATGTATAAATATTACATATTTATACATAGGATATTTCCAACTTGTTCCTTGTTAAACAAAGAAAATCCCATCTTCCTGAAATTTACAATGGCATGATTTTGATATGTCATTTCTTACAAATTTCTCCTGTCAGCAATATTCCTTGTATTATTTGAACTTTATCCCAAAGAGAATACAGTGTCCCCTATTTTCTAGATATTATCTGCCATACCAGACTATCCTTTGAATATGGATGATGTTCATGTCTGTTTAAAATTGATGGTTAAAGAAATAGAAACAATACAAAAGGTAACACTAAGAAAAAAGCTGAACAACTCTTGGAATGACTGAGGATAGAAAAGATTCAAACTATTAACAATTGTGTAAATCCTATGGAAATAAACTGAATGAAATAATCAAATGTGAAGCCATTGGTAATTGAGAAAAAAAATTACAAAAATTATTTTATTAGTATCACTATCAAAATCATCAAAATGTATCTTTGCAGATGAGATAACAATTTGTATCTTAGAATTATTCTAAGATACAAATATGCCTCTAAAATGAGACTGCTCTCTTTTAATCATTTTAGAGAACCTTTTTTTGACTTAGATCAGCATAGCTGATGATAACCTCCTTGCTCAGGTCAACATTTCCCACTAATATGATGTGAAAAGATTATATTAAATCAACTGTTAGGTCTGCTGCTAGGAAAGTTGATCAAGTCATGCCAGACAATTTCTCTTGATAGAAACAATCTTTATAAGTCTAATATTTGTCCATTGAATATTTCTGTCTTCATTTGGTCTGATGCTCCTACTATCTATTTAGATATTCCCAACAAAATATACAAAAAATCTACTATGTCATTAGTCCTGAGCTGGCATCTTTTTCAGTCACTTTCCCACTGCCATAACAGCTTCCCTGTGCTTTTTCTATAAATACTTTCATGATAATTATTCTGATGAGCTTTCCGCTTTGGTACCTAGACTTTATGAATTTAATCCCACTATCAGATTGAGAGCTAGATCATCATTTAGAGTTGAAATGGATAAATTTAATCATGTTCTCTGCAAAGTTTTTTCTCTTACACTTCTCATTTGTGGAATTCTTTTGGCTTCTTGGTCTTCAGTCACCTTTGATCTTCAAAAATTTAAATGCAATTTAATAGTTATCTTTTGTCTTACTTACTGTTCTTTTATTGTTACCTCCTTAACATTTTTCTCTTTTTCTTATATTCTTTCACACTCCTCAAACTTTTGCATCTTAGTGACTTTATTGCTTTGCTTCGGGTGAAATGATTAAATATATCAAAATGATAAATATCACAAAAAAAAAAAAAAAAAAAAAAAAATATGGTTTGAACTAGTAAATTTAACCCTTTGCCTGTCCAGGGTATTTCCTAAACATTCATGCTTGTTTTCAGATTTATAACTATTGCAAAGCAACTCACTTGGCAAATAGAATATGTTGATGTATAGTGTTCCACATAATAAAAACCTGTTCATCCCACGTGATGCACAGGTTATAATCATTTCAATAAAGTGGAAAAATAGACATCTTTCATTTAAGACCTTACATTACCAGTCAAATGTCCTATGATTCTACATGATGCACAGAATATTAAATTAGGCCTTTCCTCGGATGTGCTGCTCAATAGTAAACTCTTTTCTTAAGCATCCTTAGTTTTACCACTCTTTTAAAAGCCATGGCTTTTGTGCACCACATATGATGCACAGACATGGAAATCACATGCCCTGTGCATCACATATGATATACAGAACAGGTAAAGGGTTAATATACAGCATTACAAGTTGTCAAGTCTCAAAAAGCAACAATTATATTTAGAAGTCCTTTCAAATTCATACTTCTTCATAAAAAAAAAAAAAAAAAAAAAAAAAAAAAGTATATGATAATTAGTAATTATTACTGAGCCAATGCCCAAGATGGATTACCTTATAGGATCTCAGATTTAACTGCACTAGAAGTAAATTCATATTTTTCCCAAATTTATGAGTATGAAGTGAATGCAAACTGTCTGGGCAATTGCTATAAATGCAAATCTCATCTTCACGAATTTAAGCACATTACAAGACTGGCATCTAGGTCTCATCTTGCTATGGAAATAGCTAGATATAGTTACAAGTTATATTATAACAGTTTCTTCACACACCCTTTTTATCTGTGGAACTCTTTTCTGATTTCTTACTTTTTTGTTAACTACGATCTTCAAGAATTAAAATCCAACATCAATCATCACCTGTCAACTTGAATACTGTTCTTTTATTGTTTTCTCACATCAATAAAGATTTCACACTTTGTTACACTTTCAGTAACCTCTTAAGTTTTAGTGGCTTTATCACCTTGTTTGGGATGAAGTGATTAAGAGGAAAAAAAATTCCAGGAAATGTTGAATTAAGTTTGCAATTGATATACAAGGGTAAATCAAAAATTATCCAAACTTTCACTATATCTGTTTGCCTTCTTCTCATGCATGCTTATAATTATAGTGCTTTTTGTTCCTCCTTGGTGCACACTGCTAGTGGAATGGCCATGTTTACACTGTAACAGCAGCAAGCAAACTTCAATCATGTGACCACAATAGCATCAACTATGAGCACACCTGAGCAGAAGGCAGTGTGACAAACCTAAAGATATGTTAGGGTGAAAGTGCAAAATCATTTTTGCAATCATTTTAAATTTACATTCATTAAAAATAACTATTTTTTTAAATTATTAAGAAAGAGTTAAAAATTTAAGAGTAATATTGTTTTTTAAACTATATTTTTATAATTGAAAAGTGATTAGTCTAAATCATGTAGAGTATTTTCTACTCCATTTAAAATAAATAGGTTTAAAGTTGTCTATAGACATGACAAGAATCAAGATAAGTTGAGATCAATAAACAATTTAGGTGCATAATGAAAATATTCCTCCTACTATGTACATACCTGTTTTATACTTACAGCCAAAAAAATATAAATAAAAACTTTTTTTCTGTTTACAACTATCATTTAAAAAAATTAATATAACTTTTTTTTTTAGTCATAAAATCTAATACAGTTAAACCAGTTTTAATATTTACTTCAATCATTGTGTATTGCTTTATTTTAATTAGTGAACACAGTAAATTAGTATTAATAAGTTTAAAAACCCTAAATGTTTTAAGTACCCTGGAGCTGCAAGAAACTGGGACAAGATTATCTGTAAACATCAGAACATCAGTATAAGCTTTAGTAAAGGGAGAGAAAACATAACACAAATTAAAACAAAAGATAATGATTGACATTGCAATTAAATTTTTGAAGATAAAAGTTGACTGGAAAACAAAAAGCCAGAAGATATTTCCTAAAGTGAAATGTGTGAGAAAAGAAACTTAGTATAGACCTATATATATACATCTAGCAATTTCAACTGCAAAATGATGAGACAACTGCCAATCTAGTATTTTTTTTAATCATTTCACCCCAAGCAAGGTAATAAAGCCACTAAGGAACAAGGTGATTACTGAGCATTATAGAATATAATAAAAAACACTTAAGGAGAGAGAACAATAAAAGAGCAGGAATTAAGATAATGATTGGCATAAATTTAAATCTTTTGAAGATCAAAATTGACTGAAAAGCAAGAAGCCAGAAGAGTTTCAAAAGCAAGCAGTGCAAGAGAAGAAACTTAGCATAGAACTTACATCTAGCCTTTTCAACTGTAAGATGATGGGACCTAACAGTCAATCTAGTACTTATCATTTAACAAAGATGTAAAAAAAAAAAAAAAAAGAAAAAAAAATGTTGCTTTTGCATTTATCCATTAAAAAAAAAAAAAAAAAAAAAAAAAAAAAATTAGCTTTTTTATTTTAATTGAGTTTTTATTAAGCTCCTAACCCCTAAAAGTTAAAGAGATATTTTGATTTAGGGACAATTTAAAATCTTTTTAGAATGGTACAAAAGTTAGACTGAAGCCCTGGTATTACCAAAATAATGCACATGCAATAAAGGAAAACTTTATATTTGTTACTTGTAGTTTTCAAAAGAAATAAAAAAGCCACTGCTCATCCAATAGCATCTACAGCGTATACTTACGCAGCTAGCGTCTCTACACCTTGTTCTTTGTAGTGCACACGTACACGAACTTGCTCGAGCTCTTGTTTTAACCTGGCTACCCTTTGTTTTGCAAGAGACACATCAGCTTTTAGTAAGTCTGGATCATACTTTGTGCTACCAACACTGGAATTGGAATTTACTGAAATGGAAGATTTAAAAAAAAAAAAATAAAAAAAATAATAATAATAATAACAATAATAATAATAATATAAAATAAACCAATGATTCAACAAATAATTATTACTATTAAAAACTTTGTTCTAGGATTCTCTACCTCATTCATAATTCATAGCTAACTAGTTATTTTTTATTATTTATTTTATTAATAGACTTATTTCTGTATTTTTTATTACAATTCTCAGGCTATTATTTTAGAACTTAAATGGGTAAGGAGTATGGATCCTGAAGAGTCAGCCACCACTTACAATAGTATATCCCTTGTCTGTGAATCTTGGTAAAAACTATACTCCTTCAAGCTTTGTGGACTTGCACTCAAAACTGTACCAAATAACGATATTTGACAACTTTCAACAGCAGATCAAATGGACATCACATGTAACTTGAAAGAAAATGACAATCATGATGTTGATATTCCATACTACTTCAAATAAAAGGTTAGGAAGGAAACTCCTCAATACTGGAAAGAGCAATAACAGTTATTGGACTTGAGAAACCTATTTTCTTGAAAAATTGTTTTAAAGGAGATTTTATAAATTTCAACTGACAGCATTACTATCTGCATGTTCAATAAAGGTTGAATGTTTCCTTATGAAGGCATTACTAAAATAAGAGATATTCTAAATAAGGAATATTTATTCTAGATCTGACCATTATATAGCACCATATTGTTTTTTTCCACATAAAGGTATGGATCCTCCTCTTCTCCCCCAGCTATGGGTAAATAGCAGGACAGATCAGGTTCTATAGCCTGGATGGCAACTAGTCTATTGCAGAAAGAAATAGCAAACTACTTCAAGAAAAAAATCTGTCTCATCCATCATATATCAAAAGATACATGATCACCTAAACATGCATCACACATGGCACATAACTGACTGAGAATTGGTTGTAAGCAAATTCATTTTTTAAGATGAATTACTTAAAATTTTTATTATAGCAATGATTTATAAAGGATTGGCAAATTTTAGAGGGGCTGGGGAATGGAACCTATTGCCAATGTTTTAGGAAAAAAAAAAAAAAAACTTATGATAGAAAGGAGTGCTGAACAAATCCTGCAACTGCCAAGAAGCAGTTAAAGAATTGATACTTTGTCAGATTTAGCAGATCTTTGCAGCACACACACACATCACTTTTTAAAAATGTGCTATATTTATAGGGAAGTATGTTCAATATAGAAAATTGAGTATAAACAGTTTAAACATAGAAATCAAGACTGCATAGTTAATGTCAGTTACACACATTAAGTGATCTTCTGTCTTTAGATCACTGACTGTTACTATGCAGTGTTGATTTTCATATCCACATTGTATGCATGTATTTCATTCATACTTAGATATAGATACATAAAATATTTTAGACATAAAAAATTAGATAAGTATATTCTATATAGCGGACAGTCAAGATTTGTACACCTAGTTTCCTGCTTCCAACATAAGAAATTTATAGATCATAACAGCTGCTTTGTAAACAATTAACATTGCATAATGTAATCACTTAAGTTTTGTACAAGTGAAGAATTAAACCAAAACAACTTACAACTTGTATGTGAAGATTTCCACCCTCCCAAGGCATCAGTAAAATGTTTAAAATCCTCTTGAGCAAGCTGCAGGCGTTGTTCTTTTACAGAGAAAATTTCTCTTGTTGCCTGAAATTAGAGAAGATATCGTTTTACTTATGTGTTTTACAAGAATTTAACAAAAAAACAAAAAAGGATAAATCAGAGGATAGTATTCAATCTCGTTTTTTTAATACTAAGTTCATGTGTGACTAATACATTTGCTATATACATTAAAAAATGTAAAAACAATGAAATTTAACATTAGTGACAGAAATAAACATGTGCTATTAGGATTTTTTGTTTCTTAAACTTATAAGAATTTAAAATGGAATATAAAACTTTCCATTTTGCTATTGTACTATAATAATAGGTTTTACTATTAAAATTTTATTTTCACTAAAATTTAGTATATTATACTAGATTTACAAAATCTAGTATAATATAGTAAGTTTTGCTATTATACTATACTAGGGAATTCTGCAAGATAAAAAAATCCAAAATCATATGTTGAATTTTCAAAAAAGTTATTTTACAGAAGATCATGAAGATTTAAGGCTTTCAGAAAATAAATTATTATGTATGAAGAGTACTGAAGTCCTTAGTCCCAATAAAAAAAATCTCTGCATATGTTTTTAAGGAGTCCTTGTTTTGAGCTGAGAACTTTTCAGCATGCCTTCATGGTTATTTTATAAGAATATACATATGAAAATCAATACTAGATATTAATTTTCAAAGAAACTGTCCACTGAAAATTTTGTCTTAAATCATTTATATTCGCAAAAGAAGAACTTGATATTTCACTTAGAATTCCTTTACATTATTAGCATTTGAAAATCATCTATTTTTTGTTTTCTTTTTTGTTTAAGACATTTACTCCTGCATTTTACTTGGCTATGCTGGTCGATTCATGAGGGAGAGGGAAGAATAAGAAATTATCAGGTACTTGATATAAATGAATATTTTCATGGGTACCCACATTTTAGTTTCTATTGAATACTCTACAGTATAAACTAAGCAAAATGACCCCCCCCACACACACACCAAACACACTACATAATAACAATACACCAGAAAACAGGTTATAGTGCATGCTACTATATGTATATTGATTTGGAAATAATGCTCGTTATAAACTACTAAGAACTGGATTTCTTGGTACCATGAAAACATATAGAGTATTACATATATTATTATATATGTTATATATTTCTTTATTTACACTATTTATTGCAATGGTTAGCAAAACATAAGCTAATTGCCAATTGATTCAAACTTTGTAGAATGATAAGGATTTCCTCATAGTTGGTACAAATATTTTAATTGTATCAGATTTTAGAATGTTGTAAGAATGTTGTATATATAAAAACCTTTTTTGTATATAAACAATTTAGCAAACAGTGTTCAATATATTTGTTGTAAATTCTCAAAAACAAAAAATGTCTAAATTCACTTTCATCATATGTTTAGGTTTTATTCCAATTCTAATCATCATATTTTGAAACTGAACATTAGCAAAAAATGAAGATGGTCTTAAAAAAAAAAAGGTTGGGGATGTCATGGGGGAGGGCACTACATTTTATTATTTCTTCAGCACAATAAGTTAATAAAATTATTTCTCTACCAGTAATGAATAGAAAAAAACTTTTTGCTTACTTCTAAATCTTCCTGAGCAGTTATTAAATATTCTTTCAACATTTCTTGTTGCTTCTCTCTCCATTGCACCCTTGGATCTTCTAACTGATTGGTTTCTAAAACAAAATAACAGAACAGTGTAAAAAAAAAAAAAAAAAAAAAAAAAAATCAAAATCACAAACATATTTATTGGTTAATTTAAAATATAAAAAAAAACATAAGTCAATTTTTTGTCTTCCAGTTATCTAGTGTATTTTATTCAATATATAAAATTTTATACATCAAGAACAATTTTAAGGGGAAAAACTATGACAAAGTGGAATAAGTTTTGATGTGTTTCTTTAAGAATTCATTGGACTATATGTTTATGCTGATATGGCTACACATGCAGGCAGATGGGGGGCACTGAGAATTAAAAAAAAAATATCTGTTCTAAATATATAGTCTAGCTGACTTCATTTAGTTTCTTTACATTAACACAAAAGGTAATAAAAACAAAAAGAAACTAAATGAAATCAATTAGACTATATAACCAAAACATAGGAAAAAAAAAAAATTAAATTCAAAATTCTTAGCATCCCTCCTCTGTCAAGCACATAATGTAAACAACACTGGTCACAGAAAAAAAAAAAAAAAAATTTTTTTAAACTGCCATAATTTACCCTAAAACAGGGTCAGGTCAATGGTAACTAAAGAGATTTCCCCATCAGACTTTTCTGATGAAGAGGGTGGCTTAAGCAGGATTAAAGAAAAAAAATCTGTCAAAGAGTGGATGAACATTCTTGTAGGATCTAGCACAATGAGAAGGCCTCAACTCCATAGCTGTGTATGCAACCAGTGTAGTGATGACATAGTAATGTTATGTGGAAGGCTTCCAAGATTGAAGTAAAATGACCAGGACAGAGTTTTTCTTCAATAGAATCAACAGCCACATGTCATGACCAAGTTGAGCCTTCAAGTAAAAGAACATCAGCTGTGGTTTGACCAGGAGAAGGACGGGCTTAGCCAAGTCTACATACCCAAGACATGCTACACATGATTTAATACTTTTCTAGCTTTCAACCCTGATATGGAGTGAACAACTGGTCTTGGGACTGATGATGAACAACTTCAACTAATGTGCAGTATAATGGATGATGGCTTGGCATAAGAAAGCCAAGTTCATTACATTCATTTATGCACAATTACCTTTGGGAAAGATATGAATCAGTTTCTTCTATCCCCAGTTATGGGTTGAATAGGTCCTATAGCATTGATTGGCAACCAGTCTACTGCAGAAAGAAACAGGAGCATGATGCAGAAAAACCTTCTGCCTATTCAGTCATAAATCAAAAGAGACAATCACCCAAGCATGTATTACATATGGCACTTAACTGACTGAATAATAGTGAGTAAGTATTTTATAGTTTTTACAATTTTACATTAATATTTCTTAAATGATTAATACAATTAATAAAGTACTATTTTAGAACAATTTTGAATTAATTAACTAATGAAAAACTTCTTTTCAACTGAAGTTAGTTATTTGAAGTTACTAGCTTCTTGCAAATAATTTATTTGAAAGCTAACCTCAGAATTCTCTTGAGATTTATTCCTGAAATATTGGAAGCTAATAAAAAAAGATTTATTACTTACCTTCAAAATTATCTGGTCACATTTTAAAAACAAAAAGAAATTCATTCATATATACATATTTATTCACAATGGTCAGGTAAACAAACCAAACCCTCTATTTCTGGAATTGTTACAGTTCTTTATAGTATTCAAAGATATGCTTTACAACCATACAACAGCCTTTTTTATTCTCTATCTCTTTGTATAACTATATTTTAAACACAAAAGTGAATTAAATTTTTTTTTAAGATTTCAATTTTATAGATTTTGTGTAGAATTATTTTAAAGGAGGGAAAGGTTGAATAAAGTTTCTGGCCTAAATTGGTGGAAATAGCAACATCTGTATCAAAGACCCTCTATAACAAACTCAGACTTTAAGCTTTCAGGATGCACCAAATTCTTGCCAGCAATCAATTGCTGCACTTATTTAATAATAAAAGGGATTCCACAAATTTAACTTTCATCATAAGTTTCTCTCCAAACCTTGTTTTTAGTTTCAATACTTTGCGTTAAATGCATTTAAAAGATTACCTAAACAGGTGATTATATATGTTTAACATTTGCTATATTGATAAGAGTGTTTTCAATATCAGGATTAAACATATGTAAATATAAAGAGTATATGAACATGTAAACCAATGCTATATGGTGACTGGTAGTGTCTGATTGCTTAAGGCATAAGAGTACCATACAGTGTTGATTTTAGTTTCATGTCAACATATTTTATTACTTCAAACATTTTTTGTGGATAAGAATTAATGAATTTTTTTTTTTTTAATCCGACATTTTTATTTCCTTGAACAGTATATTTAGTGGATTCCCATATTTGAGTTGGTGCTTCATTTATTTTAAGCAGTATTTTATTTTGTCCAGCAGTCTGATGTTTGAGGTTTTCTTGAATGTGTAGGCCAGTAGATAAAATAAAATATTCTTTAAAATAAACTGAGCATATACTCAAATACAGGTATCCACTAAAAATAACATTTAAAGAAATAAAAATATGTTGGATTAAAAAAAACAAAATCCATTGATTCTTTAAAAATCGCTTTGTTTCCGTTTTATATCTGAAATGAAGCAGATATGATTTCAAGAAAATCTGAACAAATAACTGTGCTTTAGAGGCAAAATAGAACCCTGCTTGTTTGTGAAGCTCTTCATAGCAAACCAGATCAGATAGTGGTTCCTCCTGCAAAGTGAGATGCAGTTTCAAATCCTGCTGCAGGCTACATTTTCTTTAAGTTTTCTCGAATGCACAGGGCAGTAGACAAAATAAATATCGTTTAAAATAAACAGACCATCTATTCAAATACGGGTATCCCCTAAAAATGATGTTTGAAGAAATAAAAAAAATTTATGTTGTAATAAAAAAAATAAAATCAATTATTTTTTATATATATATATATATATATATATATATATATATATATATGTGTGTGTGTATGTATACATTTACAGATAAGACACATTCATGCTTACATTAATATGCATAACACACCTCATTTTGTTGTAGTCAAAAAACAAAATCATGAAACATGCATACAATACATATGCAAGCATATACTATAATTGAAAAATATTTGATTTACAACAAATGGAAAAGTGCATGCTAACTTTTTCTCAATACACAAAATATTTCACAATATTTATTGCACTTAAAACTATCATAATAATTGTGCTTGTACCTCCTTTCGTTAGTTCACACAACTGTTATGCTGTGCCAATATCTCATAAATAAACTATTCCATTCTGATCTCATGAGAAGAGAGAAGACAAAAGACATATTGCTACTTGGTTTCAGTGAGAAAATGAAAGGGAAGAAAGAAGTGTTTAATGTCTGTTTCAGTGTTGTCAATTTCAAATCTTTATTTGTACCTCCTTACTTCTTAAAATAATGACCAGCATTCATTTATCAATGTTATTGCAATATTTTGTTAAAGCTGTAAAGCTCAAATATGCAATAAGGGGAATTAATAAGGATATTTTATTGTCATAGATCTGACTATGAGCTTATTCTATCATTAACTGAAGAAATAAAATTCATTAGAAATTTCAAATAGGAAAACTGAGAAATTTTCAGATTAAAACTAGTTTTGATAAATTGGGCACAAAAGGTCTGTATGTGTGTCTGAAAACTAATGAGGCATATATATCTATATAAATAAATATAAATCAGTAACATCCATCAACATAAAAAAAAAACATGAGAATTTAATGTATTTTAAAAGGTGAGCAAAATTGTTGTCAAGAAACTGTTCATTGTAAACTAGAGTGATAACAACCAATACATTGTATATACTTCAATCAACATATCTCTTGAACAACTTCAGAGTTTCATGAAACACTGCTAATCACGGTCTATTCATACTCTACATAACAAATGCTAATCATAGACTTCAAATAAATTAAGGTCATGATATTTAAATATTCAGAAGTGAAACAATTTTTCTCATATAATTTTTACCATTATACAATATTAAAATATAGATTTTGTAAAAAGTTTTTGCTTTGCTTTGGCTCTGTATTCTGGAGATAAATGTAACTTTTTCCCAACCCAGCATTTAAAGTCCCGAGTTGGTTCATGAGTGCAATATTTCTAACCCTTTAGCATTCAACCCATATCAGCTTTTAATATTCACTCCACCATAACCTCCCCCTGCCCCCATATATACTCTGTCATAATATACAACATCATCACAAATATTGCAGGAAGTCACACAAACAGTGAGACATTCAGAGACAATATTTATCGGACAGGTTTGGGTATGAATGCTAAAGGGTTAATGGAAATATTAGTATATAAAGAATTTATATCTAAACTAGCCATAAAACTATTTTTCATGCCTATACCTGATTTTATTTATTAAATCACCAGAATTCTTTTAGATTTTCTGAACTGATAGTATAAAGTAAAGGTGTCAGAATTTTTGTCAGAGCTCTAGCAATTTTGAGTGTTGCTAACAATTTCAGAGAATATTGGTTAGATTGGAATAATAATTTTATGTCTTTTTGGTAGACTATATAATATAAGTATAATGTTTTTGAAAGAACATAATGGAGGTATAGTGTTTTTGGTAGGGCATAGCAAATATCCTAAATGCTTTTGTGTAAAAGCAAATATAACAGAATAGCTACCAATTTTATAGATATTACAAACTGAATTATCACCCAATTACTTGCTTAAAAATACATACTACAGAATTACTTTTATGCGAGTTTTTATATACATACAACTTTTAAGCAACCACAACAATACATTGTAACCAAAAATATTGTATCACTGATTTAAGGAGGAGAAGGGGCAATGGGAGTAGTGTAGCAGTCATCCAGGTAGAAAATTGAGCTCCCTAGACCTGGGTGACAGTCTAGAAGGACACTAGAAACCCTTGCACATCATTAGCTTTCATTTGTAACTGTGGGATAATATTATGGGATGCAAGACTCCATTCAACAAAGACAGTAAAGGTTGATTATAGACTACTATCTCTATAAGAGTAAAATGTCT